CCCTACCTAAACCGGGGGGGGGGGCTAAAAGTGCCCGCGGCAACTTTGATGTCACCTAGCGTCTGAACGGCTAGCCGTAGAATGGCCAAACTTGGTGACTTTTCCTAGAATATTGTTGGCAACAATTCTATATCATTGGAATAAGATAATAATTTTTTGTGTTGCCATGGCAACGGGTTTCTGACAGGCATTTTTTGCTAAATTTAGTACTTTTTGTTTCAACACTAGAATTTTATGGGTTTTATGTCAAGTTACTCATGGTTTCTAATATTAATAACACCCAATATAATTTTATGTTAATTTTATCATTAAATATGCATAATTTATGCTAATTTTATGACGTCATTGGCCAAAGTCCAAGATGGCGGACCATATCATTAGAACAGGTATATACAGGTTATTTTCATTAAAATTTCATTAATACTTCCATTTCTTTTTCCAAGAAAGGTTTAAATGAAGGTCTTTAGTATGTTTACAATGTATTTTAGGCTTTATCATGAAAAAAAACTATTTTTGAAAATTCAAGATTGATGATCCAAGATGGCGGATATCTTAAATATGCATGACGTCATTTTATGACGTCACCGGTGTTGCTATGGGCAACATAAGACTTAGTACACCCTAATATTCTGTCATAAACACTTTTGGTACAGTTATGTTGAATACCATTTAGTTTTCAGGGAAAAACCTATTTAGACAAGGTTTTGGCCAATAAAATCACATTAATGACGTCATAATGACGTCATATTACGTCATAACGACATAAAAATTGTAGATATGATAAATTTTCACTAGTACACCATTCTCTGAAAATTTGGTGGTCATACGACATACCGTTCGCGAGTTCTTGGGGGGGGTCAAAAGAGCCCCCCCCCGGTCCCCCCATGTCAAAAAAAGCCCGGTCTAGGTAGGGTTAAAACAAAATGTAAAAATACACGTATACAAGAAAATATAAATGAAATGTAACAGTGCAGGGAGGCCGGAAGCATAAAATGCTTATGAGGAGGCCTCCCTTCATAACGTGATTAACAATTCAAATCAATCGGATAAATAAGAAATAACTTAGGTAACGGGTAAATAAACAAAACAATAAAATACAATACGATACAATACTATCTACAATAATGAAAAATGGTAATGAAAGTAGTAAACAAGGAAACATAAACAAAAATTAGGAATGTGTGGGGTTATTTATGAAAGCTACTTTACTTTATGATTTTTAAAAATGGTGAAGGAGGGATTCTGATTGAGACTCTGATTGACATATTTCTGTTGACAGAGGCTCTGATCGGATTCTCTACTAGTAGAATCACCGACTCTACCGATACATGTCGCGGTTGCAGGTATTTACATGAATAGAGATAATAATTGGAACCTACCTGCAGTAGCGGTGAAGGTAATTTAGAGCAAGATCCTTCCCAGTGAAGTGGCCATCTCTCTTCTTAAGTTGCTTCAGAAACACGTGTGACACCAAGAAACCACTTGTAAATGAAAAAGAACAATAGAAAACAAGAGCAACAGTAAAGCAGTAGTAAAGAATAAAAAAATATATTAACCCTTAAGTTGGTAAAAACATGTATTAACGAGTATTCTATATGTAGGTAGTCAATAAACAATTGGAATTGGAAAAAACAGATTGGTGTCTTTATTGATCACAACATTATAGAAAACGTTTTAGGGAAAACTTGAGCTACAGAGAATCATTGACCAAACTACCACAGTGGCGAATCGTAGTCTTATGTAGCACTCAATGGCATACTCTAGATCTAGCTTTATCTAGAACCGCCCTCTCATGGCATTATAGCTGTCTGTATGCTAGCGTACCGGCATGCTTTCCGTGCTTGCTCCTTTGGAGCTTTGCCAGCCCTAAGCCGTAAGAACTGCTTTTAGAATAAATACCAGCCAATCACATTGCCTCTTGATTATAGTCGGCGATGTGATTGGCTGACAGCTTTCCCTGAAACAACAGGAGTGAGTGAGAATGTATGATTGGCTGACAGCCTACCAGCACCAATGCAGAGAGAAACACGGAGGGCAGCCAAGCACGCCAGGGTAATTGCTTGACGAAAACAAGCGTAAGGCGTCGTATACGTATGAAAGAACGTCTAAAACGTGACACATACCCGAGAACAAGAAATGTGTCTACAGCCAGATCATATGGCTCAATGATAAAGAACCACCACTCCTGGTCACGAACATCATGTTCAGACCTATTGCCTGTGGAAAACATCATGTTGATATTTAATAAAGAAAAAATGCTTGACATTTCAGACTTCCTGGATGTGATTTCAGTTTTCATTCACAGAGAGACCTCGGGGATTAGGGGCATTTGTGAATGTATTGGAACCGCAGAGGTTGCTGCATTATGCATTGTATTTTCGTCAAATTTGCAAAAGCGTTCATCCACCTTATCATAGTCAGACGTGTATACAAATATAATATAATAAATAAATAAATAGACGTGTATACACATAAAAAGCTAAGGAGTTAGATATCACCATAAGAAATAAAAACGTGTGGAATATTTTAATAAAAGTTATTGTATAAACCGCATAAGCCGGCATCGCAGATTGGACATTTAATACCATAACAATTATTTAAACAAATTCTAAAGAATAAATAAGGTTAACCAACTATAAACAACAACAAATCAGGAGCATGTATCTCTTGACCAAAACTGCACAATGCACCCTGGCAAAATCAATGAAATGCTTAAAACTTACCTATGCTGGCGATAACGTTACCATAAAAATCCATATGCCCTAAGATTATCCAAAGGGCACTCAGTACGCGGAGGCCGTCAAGGAATGGGAGTTGTCCGGGCAGTTGGCGGGTGTCAAACACTTTCTTTGTGTTGGTGTAAGCAGAGAAACACAGAAGCAAGCGACCGACCTTTGCTAGAGAGAAAACAAATTCTAAACAAGAGTTCCGAGATCTCATACCTCCATGAAATATGGGCTTGATATGTAAATGTAAATTTCTTCTTTAATTACGCAAATGACCTCTGTATTAACATAATATATGCATCGTGATGTTAACTTTTGATTAACTTAAAGATGTCCCAAGTATGACATTCCCATTATTCACCATTGAGAAATCATACATTTTTTCCATTAATTATGCAAATTAGGTCACCATTTGCATATTTAGTATCTGTTGATGTTCCATCTGCCATAGGTTACATACATTACATGTATGAAAGTTCTATAATGTAAAACACTGTAATTATAGAATTTCCTCATTAATTATGCAAAAAAAGTCATCATTTGCATAATTTGCAGTTAATTATGTACATCTCTCTGTCTGATACCTACACACCAAAAATGATGAAAATACGCTGTTCCTATCTGGACTTATTGGTTTTCAAAGATTTCGCCCAAAAGTCCCCTGCAATTCCTGAACAAGCTGCTAGGAGGACCAAACCCACACCACTTATTCCTGACAGGAAAAGCTATCTGTCACAAAAAAATTCAAGACCATAGCATGTTCAGGACCAAAGATACAAAAACCGGAAGTTCTGCTGCAGTACCAAGGTCATCCACCAGGAGGCCCATATTTGACCTTGACCTTTGTCTTCCTAAGACTTATCAGCATACCAAATATCATCACAATCCATAAAGGAGTTATGAAGTTATGCTGACTACAAAGTTGCGGAAACACACACAGACACACAGACACACACACAGACAGACACACACACACACAGACATACAGACAGACGCCGCCAAAAACAATACCTCCATTTTTCATGGAGGTAATAAATTTAATTAAACGAAATAGAAGACACGGGTTAAAGACTTTCTTTTGCATCGGAGTATATGATATCTTAACGCGTGGTCAGTGGCTAATACCACCTAACAAATAACCGAGTGAGCAAAGTGAAGTCGATACTTCGTATACCTACATATTGTACAGGTTGGTTATATACCTACACTTTGCGCAGCTAAAGTAGATGCTTACAATACTTCAATACAGTGTATAGCTAATAATAAAAGCCAAATGTTGTAATAATAGTTCAATTTCCAATATGATATATAAGTCAATATATGTGCTACTTATACATCGTGCAGCTAAAGAAGATACATTTGATGCTACACCCCATAGCAAAAGTTGAAGCTTTCAGTTATAGTTTTTTATATATAGAGAGAGAACGTTGGTGCTTTTGCTACCTAATATTGTATACATCCCAACAAAATCAAACTCATTGTCTTTAGCTATGTGCGAAGTGTATATACATCTATAAATAGTGAATATTTCTTTGAACTTATGCCACACCGACTTAATTTTATGGATGACATCCTCTGAAGACCCCCAAATTAGTGCGCGCGGGCGAAAAAAAAGGAAAATCCGGCCAAAAATAAAACTTCTACTAAACCACAGGAATACAAAGCCGGTTTTGTGAATTTGCCGCATTACATAGCGACGTATACGAAAGGCCGGCACATATGCTGGATTTTTGTGGAATTTATGAATCGACACTGTACGTATGTACGTCCTGAGTTCTTGACTCGTGGAGCTTCGGTAGCCTTGGTGCCGTCCTCCAGAGTTACCACCGGCTTCATTGTCGCTAACCACCATGGACTACCCAGGCCTAAAGCCAGGCCAGAGCTCGGAAGACGTGATCTTTTTTTTTTTTGAGATCAGGCAAAAATCAATGCGCGCGCGGATGTCATCCATAAAATTAAGATGGCGTGGCCTTACTTGCAAATAAAAATGCGCATAATGTGCCCTGACAAAATCAACTGAAAGGATGCCATGTTTACTTACATTCTGCTGAAGACTTTGTCCCCGCTAACGTGGTGACAATGATCTCGTAAAGGGTACCAGCACTGACCAGCACACAGACAATGGAAGCTAGCACCCTGAAAAGCATTAAAAAGGCGCATTTATATTGATTCACTAAGGCATACTGTTATTTTGGACATGTTTGAAATATCGGAAACTGATCTTTCTAAGTTTACCGTACATATATCGGATCATGTAAACCATCACTAAACTGAGACGAGAGCTTAATGATGAGTACTTCAATCTTCTGAACGGTCAAGTTTTTTTCCAGCGTCATATTACTATTTTTATTGTTATCATAACCTATATAATAGTTTGCCAGGAAATAAAACCAAACACAATTCTTACGTATTTATGAATGATAAGCTGTTTATTTGATTACTTTTCCTCGTTCCTTTTTTGTGAAGGTAGGTCATTTTTATTTGTTCTTGGGTAAAGTAAAACATTTCTTTCCTCACAGCTCATTTTTTGCTATATAGATAAGAAATGTTTAACGACCTTTCTAGACAAATTACGGGGGGTATGTTTCGTTGTGTTTTGAATCGCACATTTACAAATTGCATCACATTCCAATTATAACATAAGGGTTCCACAAGGCCAGGGTTGGTTGCTGTACGGCCGTTCTACGATCAGTGATAGTGGAGAAAGGAGCTCAGGCATCGGAAAATTTGTTGTGTTTCTAGTTTTCCGACCAACCTTACAAAAACCCTACCAATCCTAGATCGATCGCTGGTAAGGCAATAATATTTTTGATCTAACATCTGAATTTCAAACCCTTGAAATTTCTGCAATGTCATTTAACACAGCAAACAGGTGCATTAGTAAAACATTGCTTTTTGAATGTCCTTACAAGAATGCCTTCTACCTGTCAACTTACAGTGGAACAATGTACAAGTCTGGCGATATCCAGTCATACACCTCCCTCTCGAAGGACATAGATCTTGATATCCACGATGACATTGATACTAGAATAAAAAAGAAGTAAGAACGGTTAGGAGGTTAGGAAGGTCTCTATAATCTGCAAATATGGGTCATAGATTAATTGATAATTATATTAATACTTATTATTAAAATCGTTCAGAATCATTGTCTTCGTCAGAAGGACTATGAAATTGTCTCGCCGGAGTGTGGAGAACTGCGGATTTTGCGATATAACTCTGGAAGGCATCATTCGACGTCCATGATTTTTGGCAGGTAGATTACCGCTGTTGAGGCCGAAGTCAAGTACAAGTTTCGGCTTCGTGGGGGGTCCGTGAGTCACGTTAGTGCACCTTTTGTGTTTGTGGCTTGTTAGCAAGATAACTCAAGTATTTGTAAAATGTTGATTATAATTCTTGGTGTGGTGCTTACTATTGTCGGGACCAAGGTTAAGTTCGTTACTGAGCTTCGTGGGGGGTTTCGTCGTGACAACAGGGGGCATTTTGTTAATTTTTCTTGTGAGCAGGATAACTTTTGTATGTGTGGATGGAAGTTAATGAAATTTGATAGGCATGTTACTGTGGTGGTTTCCAAGATTGAGTTCAAAGATGAGAGTCGTGGAGGTCGTTATGTCCCCGTAATAGGACCTTTTGTGTTTAGAAATCCCCCACCTACATCTGCTTGGAGACAGCCGACAGCTGGATACATGGGGAACCCCATAATGGATGGGATCAAATGACGTTACATTGAGGGATTGTACTATAACTTCAGCAGGGGGAGGATAGGTTGGACATATGTCAGGTTATTTTCTACGGCCGGCCACACCAAGTAATTGCTATGGATGACGTCCACTGGAGACCTTAAATCTAATTACCTTAAATTTAAGGCAAGCGCGCAATAAAAACACGAAGGGCCGAAAAACGAGATGCCTAGATTTGGAATATACTAACTGTAGAAGTACAAATGTTAGGACACAAAGAACACAAGAAACAAGTCTTCTATTTGTCATAAAGACAAATTAACAAAACAGCAGTAGTTAACCTGTTTTGATTCTCTCCTTTATAACATCTTCTCTCATTATATTTTGCGGCGCTGTCGTGACACTTTCAACACAGTAAGAATTTCTTGAACGTTTTTTTCCAGTAACAGTCCAAACTCAAATAACGTAGGGGGGGGGGCTAACACGGGTGACGACGCATCTGTATAATCTGCGGCAAACCGTTTCAGGGTGTTCTGTACCATAAAAATAGTACAGAGATTCTTTTCTTCTTTAGACCAAATTGATTGTTAAAAAGAGTAAAGAATACGCATGTTAATTTCTCTAGAACGATGTACCTCTGACGAAGACATGAGATCTCCGACCTCTAGTTTATTATCAAAAAGCATAGCGAACATTCATAAAGAACCTTTATGCAAATATTATAAGCCAGTTAACTTGTATATTAAACCCCATTAGCCAAACTAACTACCAAAAGTGTATCTTACCTGCGATCACTATTGCAGGTAGCATCACAAATACTATGACATAGTCGATGTACACGATATTCATTGTACCTGTGGCAAAAACGAAACAAGAAATTAGTAATAATGTCGAGTGCCATGTCTGGTTAACATAAAAGAATGCGTCCGAGAATTTTTTTCAATATATTGACTCTCTTAATACTTGTGCTGGCCTTTCAAAGAAACCTGACAAATTCAGATTTGTAGTCAAGGTAATTAAACTTGAGGTTGGAGAACTAGACAAAGTTTTTCATGTTTTGGAAAGATCATATGCATGTCCGTCATTTCCCTGACCAATAGAGATACTTTTACCCTCTTAATTAAACATATTCAAATGCCTACTTGGTTTACCTTTAACCCTCAACAGTACACCTTCCCGGACTGATTAATCTGTACACCTGGGGTCCGCGCGGACCCCAGAACAGTTTTTTGCTAATTTTTAGAAATTATCAACATGCTACCAGCTCAATTGTTTTGCAAACTGATGTGGGAACCTCTGTGTCCACATTACATACAAAAATCATACATTTTGAACTTTTTCTATTTTTTGGTAAAGAAAAGAAGACAAGGAGAAATACCCGATTTTTAAACCCATTTCAGACTGAAGGGGCTTTTGAGGCCCAACTTTGATCTCAGATAGCGACTAAACGGCTTGCGCTAGAAGTATCAAATTTGGAGACCTTTCCTAAAATGTCTCTGGAAAAAAGTTCATATTAGTTTAATACTAGTAAGTTGATGTTTTTTTGTGTTGCCATGGCAACGGGTTCCTAGCAGGCAGTTTTTTTGAAAATAGAAGTAATTTTGGTTTAAACATAAAAATTTTCTGACTTTTATATTAAATTACACTTCTTTTCCAACATTAATAACATCTTGCATAATTAAATATCAGTTAAATCATTTAATATGCATAGAATATGCTAATTTGATTACGTCATTGGTCAAAATCCAATATGGCGGACTATATTATTAGCTCTGACGTCATATGACGTCATAATTGCACCAAAGTTATTAAAATTTAATTCTATTACTACACCATTCTCTGAAAACTTGGTAGACATACGATGAGTGCATAAAAACAAATAAAAACAGAAATAAGGTAATGTATAAGAACGCCAGTGTATCCATTATGATCGAAAGCCGGCGTGGGGTCCGCGCGGACCCCAAAAGAAAATCAGATATAATTTTTTTTATAAATGGTAGAAACGGAGTTTTCTGCACTATATTGAGAGACAACTTTGTGGGTGACAATTACCTAAAATTTCAGAAAAAAATCTTTAGAAATAAAAAAGATATTACAGAATATATAGTGCTGGGGTCCGCGCGGACCCCAGGTGTACTGTTTAGGGTTAAAGTTTTCAAATTATTTTAAAAAATGGGGAAAATTTTACTTAAATTAAAAAAAAGAACAGAAAAAAGCATTTTTTTAAACATCTGCCCAAAATGTTTGACCTGGGACAGGGGTGAAATTTTGGTGTAGGTCTTTAAAATGCTGTCGTTCCCATTTTAATGTAGAGAATGGTAATTTGTGGGGTAAAATATGAACTGTTTCTAAGAAAGATCTCAATTAATGATTACCAAAAAAAGACAGCTTAATTGCCATGGGAAGTTACTGACAATTTATGATGCGATATATTCAAACAATACAATTTTTGGTGCAGCAAACAAACTGGAATACCACAATCAACTGGGTGTATATAATGAAGCTTGTGTTCATATTTGGCTCATATTTGGCTCTATCTAAACTACACGACCGTCTTACTTAAGCCGTGATGGATGTTACAGAACTCGGAGACAGGTATGAACCACCTCGCACGACTTACAGGAATAGTAACGGGAGCGCTCTGACTTGATCAGTGAAAGGGCCTGGCTATCCGGTTTTATCCGGCACCAAATTATCGTCGTTATTAAATTGCTATGTTTTAGGCTGCGTTTTTAAGTCTTTATTCTTTCTCAGGCGACAGCCGCTTTTACCGAAATCTTGAGAAATCTTACCCGCGGCCATAATTTCTTCCAATTCATCAATCAAACCTTGTGGTGCGAGAAATCTTTTGTCAAACATAGTGAGTGTTATACGAAAGTGAAGAAAGCAATGATGAGGTCCGTGATTTGGCTCAAATCTAGTCGTAAATTACTTGAATGAGACCGAGTTAGTTAACTTTCCTTTTTTTCAATTCAATGAAACCTAACAGTCATCCGACTAAGTTGTCTACTTTATAGTTCTTAAGAGGATTCTAAGGTCACAAGGTTCCCCTGATGACGCTTAGATTAGATTAACACGTGAAAAAACGGTTATATTTCTTTGTTTGGTTTCTTTCATTTGTTTACCAATTTTGCAAGATTAAAGAATGAAAGACTTTTATTGTACCTTTGTGCTCTATCAAGCTAAGTACAGGTCATGAATAGACAAGGAAAAAGGATACAGCAATGACACTTAAACTATAAATAATAAAGTGATCTACTATTTACATGTTCAACTTCTTCTCGCTTCTTGACGCAGTTATAGATGTACGAGCATATAGAACTAAATGCATGGTTTGTCAAGTTTCCTAAGAAATATGAATTTTTTCTAATTAAAACACAGAAAAAAGTCCTAATAGCTTTACTGTAGCTCAACAGTGGCGTATAATGTTTGTGGGAAAACATATAATTCATTTTTGACTTCAATGTGGTAGGGTGGTGTTGTAATTCTAAAGGTTCTAAGTTCGAATTCCAAACTTACCTAATGTTCTGTTCCTGAGAGAGACACTTTACACCTGTATGTGTTTTTGTGCAATCGATTCGGTAAAAATTGAGTGCCTAGCTTAGGTAAGGGACGCCCTCTCTGATAGAAGAAGCTTTAGGTACTAGGTCCCGGGTTTGACGAGAGCCACACCTCGAGCTCGAAATGACTTTAAAACGTTTACTGAATTACTATCACGATAGCTTCTGAATACAGCTGGTATACATACAGCCCCAAATCGCACCAAATCGTTTGATACTGTCCTTCTTCTAACGTTACGTACATGCTTATATCGAGTTCGTACATACCTCCTTAGCGTTAAAACAGCAGGAAACCGGCTGAAACCAAGAGAACTTTAATACGTCTGCTTCAGAACGACTCACAAAACTAGGGCATCCAAACTCATCCGACCACTTCATGTTCACCTCTGACCTCTCCTGTTTACTTTTATTATCTTTATTTTCTGTCTTCCAATTTGTAAGTTTTTTTTTCTCTACATATGTACTGAAAAAAATAAGTGTGAATTATAAAATGATTCTTCATTAAATCATTTCTGAAGGCTAATTGCTTGTAAGTGCGTGTAAGATGGTTCAGCTGCAGTACGACAATTATATAGGAAACAGACAACTAACGGGGGTGCCCTAATTCCGACCTATCCCTAATTTTGTACTAGTTTGACAAATACTTGTTGCGGCGTTATGCATGGGAGCATGTGCCTAAAAATAACCACACATATGGACGTCGAAAGTGTTTTTGTTGATATCGGTAATCTAACAAAGTTTGTTGTAGTTCGTATGGAGTGTACAAACTAAAACAAACTTTGTCAGATTACCGATATCAACAAAAACAACAGACGGGTGAAAAATCTATTTGAATTCGACGCTTGTTCGGGGGTTGACGAGCGTGCCAAAAATGCAGATTTTGTTTTCAAACAGCCACTTTGGAGCACGTCGCGCAATCGTAAAAAGAGGACTTTTTTGGGACAGAAAAACAGTTGTAGATTGCTTTAGTCATAGTCTGTGTATTATAATTTCTAAACTCTCTTCTCAGATTGACCTGCGTTGAAAACTCTAGGTCGTTAGAAATATTACCCTTATTGTTTAAATTGGACTGTCTTCAACAATAAACTCCAAAAAACAAATGTTTGAAGTTGCTATGCTCAATGATAAAGTATTAGAAATAGAATCACAGAGTAATACTGGCAAGGGCAATCGATGACATTGTGGTTTTTACCGGCCTTTTACAAATTAATCAAACTGACTCATTTAACCGCCTCATCCCTCCTCTATGGATAATTAACAAACGTTTAAACAGAATGTGCATGCAAGATCAAGTTTTTGGTTACCAGCAAACGCTTGTCAATCTTAAATTGTCCTTTGGAGTGTCTGTTTTATTCCATTTTTTTTTAGAAATGTGTAGCCCAGGATAAAGACAACAAGACTGGCAATGAAAACATACATTGCCATAGCGACGGTATTTCTTGGTAGGGTTATTGTTTGCATGGCACTACAAAATGTATCATGATTTAGGGAAGCCCCGATGCTGTTGTTAAGAATAACATTTCAGGTCGCAAGTTTCAATCTGCCCTGCTTTCTGTGAGCCCCAGGCTCGTTCACTATACACTCAGGGGAGGGTAGGAGTGTTCTACTGTATCTGTCCAGACTTAACAAGTAATTATATAAAAATGTATCCATAAGAAGCACGTGGCTGCCGTTGCAATTGTAGGTCTGTGAACCTGAAGATATCAGAAATTTACATGAAGATATCAGGAATTTACATGAAGATATCAGAAACTTTAATCATGTACATTGAGTTTTAGAGACCCTAGACTGCAAACGGCAGGTTAATGTTCTGTCATTTTTTTCTGTGTTTAATTATCAGCAAAACCGGCAAGGTCGGTTTCTGTGTGCATCATGTGATTTATGTCAACATGGAAGATACCATTGCAAACAAGGGGGTGCATGCATGTACACGTTTTGTATTAGGTGACCTTTATTCAGTATAAAAAACGAACGTTGTTTACTATGCTATGAATAATGCATGGGAAGTTGTTAATAAGAGGTATTATATTTGTTGTTTAGATATTCTAAAAAAACTTTTACTACAAAACACACAGGTCACTGAAAGGATGCAAAAAGGAATATACATTTGAAATAAACCAAATGGGGTCCATTTGGACCCCGTTCGGGCATTAACGTCACAAAAAAGTTCGGGTGTTTGAGGGTTAAATTCATTCTAGCTTCGACCACTGACTGTGGTAGGGAGTTCCAATCCATTACTGTTCTAATACTAAACGACTGACCCCTGGTCTTGTTTCTAGAAAAATATAGCCGTAGGTACGAAGGTACTCCCAAATAGAGTGCAAGAAACGTGTTTAATTCTCCCCACAAGGTCCGACTTGCATCTTCAGCACGCCCTGTTTATGTAGGTCTCTAAGGAAGTCGTATTCCCCCGCCATGTGATGATGCCCGGCCTCGTTCTGTTTGATAGGTTTGATGAAGTCTCCCGGGTAGTAGTGATAGGGGATGGGCGTGTCCCGGGCGTCACGTTGGAACGGGAAGAAGCCGTACATGTACGGAACGTCACAGAACGTCGTCGTCATCAGGACAGTGATCATGCCGGTCGTGGGGACCCCGCCCATCTTCTTGTGCGCTGGCCTGGACGCAAGGCTGGCGGGGAAAAAAAAACAACAGAACAAAATTACAAAGATAACATTTGCAAAGCGAAACCATAGTGTTACATTTGCATCGTGCAGCTTAACGAACTACTGCTTTGTTTATTCTTACTCAAATACACTCATATTATATCGTGACCATGCAGTCCTTCTTGAACTCAGTTCTGCACTTGCAACATAATGTAACCCAACACCAGTTTCCATTGTGACAAACGACTGGTTCAGTTCAATAATCTTATTTGCTCGGAACGGAAGAAGAAGAACCTGAGAAAAAAATGTGATTACCTTTCAAACCAAGACATAGCGTTACCTTCACATGGGGATGGAAAATCCCATAGAAAATGACTGCTCTTACGCAAAGAAATAATGCAAAAACTACATAATGTAAAAACTACATATTGAAAAAGTACATAATGTAAAAACTTCATAATGTAAAAAAAAAACTACATAATGTAAAAGCAACATAATGTAATCCACCTCCACAGATGCCAGTTACCATGGTGACAGCTGATTGGGATATTTCCTTATTGAGCATCACCTTGAGAAACCGGTACTTACTGGTTGATCCCCCGGCTTAGGCGGCCCTTGACGGAGTACAAAGAGAAAGTGACGCGGTATTTTCTGGCCACGCTGATGATTTTACTTCTTGACCTCTTGTCGGTGACGAGCGCAGCCCCCCAGATGTTCCTGAGCCGACTCTCGTACACGTCCTGGGTTCTGTTCTTCAACCGAGCCTGTAACCAGGAGTCCGGACAGGTTTGGCATTCATTAATCATTGGGATCAAGTTGTGTTTCTATGTATTTATTATGTAATTGTAGTGTAGTTGTATTATTGAACTGTTGTATGTATTGTAGTTATTATGTAGATATTGTGTAGTTGTTATATTTTAGTGTTGTATGTATTGTAGTTATTAAGTAGATATTGTGTAGTTGTCAAATTGTAGTGTTGTATATATTTATTAAGTGATGACGGTGGAATTGTTATGTTGTATTTCTTATAATATTATAATTCTAATGTACAGGACTCCAGGAAGAGTTTTTTTTTCTAATTGAGTTCCTGATAATCATAAACGTAAACATAAACGTGCCGAGCTCTGTAACCGTTTCGGCGTGCTGAGGTTTAATATCGTCATGCTGGTCCGCCTACCGACGTCATTCTCGTAACCCTTGACAACGGGCATGTTCATCCTGATGACGTAATCCCTGGAGTCAATCTCGTTCCCACAGTGGCTGCCTAGCCACACCCCGCTATTCCCGACCACGGCGCAGGTGTTGTAGTGTCCGATGGTCCCGCTGTGGTCCGTCCGACAGTGCGCTTCAGACTTGCGCGGTTTTTCTTCTACGTCACACTTTGTTGTGTGGTACTGAGCCAGTCTTGGCATCTTGTTCTTAACCAGGTGGACGGACGGGTGCAGTTTCCCGCAGGATTTTCTGAAAGATACATTAGAAATGCCGTATTGAGTCGTATGGAGGTCACCTTGTGGCGCCGAATGACAGCCGCACAGACCCTTGCGACAGCTCCACAAAAATAATCGTGGAAGAAATATGTGTATCGCGTGTATTATTTGATTGTTGTAATTGTTGTGATTTCTATTGATTATGTGATACCCTGCATCAATTCAGCCGTATAAAGGCTGCGACTGCACGGGTACTGTTTGGACAATAAAAAAAAACATTTGCTCCTTGATTGAACGTAACGTTTTGATCATGTTAATGCGATCAGCTATAAATATTTCAAAGGATGAGGTTTCTTTGTTATTGTCTGAAAAATGGGACATAGTGACAAGTATGGTAGCATCTGTGTTGAAATTGATGAACTTAACGTTTTGTGACTTTGATCACCTTTTCATATTCCAAAGCGTAGATGTATAACTATTTATCTTGTTACTTTTACTGTACTAGTTATATTTTTGTATGTGATTGTAATTCATAAGGTTCTATGTGTGGGGCACAACACCAGCGAAAACTGCCTGTGCCTCACGTGCATTCTTTTGTGACAATTTCAATAAATCAAATGAAATAAAAAAAAAAGAAGATGACCGCCCTTTATAATTAGACATGATGGTATTTTCGACGGAAATGGCCCCCTGACTCATTTCATAAGACCGGCACCAATGAGAATTATTAGCATGGAAATTTCACTAACCTGATCTTCGCATTGGCTTCAGGTCTAAACTGCCAGGGCGGATCGGGTGCCAGGGATCCGAAGTACAGAGTGGGCCGCAGTATCCGGATTCCGGTTCTGTTGCCCTCCCGGTTCCGGACCTGGAATGTGGGCCTGTTGCTCATCCGGAATCCGGCCCCACTGTACGTCCGGTTCCGGATTCTGGTTCGGTTGCCATTCCAGTACACCGGAAATTGCGGCATTCCGTGTAACGAGCCCCTAATTATTGGATAAAGTGAAGATGTTATCCTATATAATGTCCTTGGTTGCACTGGTATTGCGTTGTACCTAGTCTTACAATGCGTCCAATTTACCTACCCATCAACTGCCAAACTTCTCCAGTAACCGTGTAAGGAATTTGACGGAAATTGTCACAATTGAGACATGCGACATCGTTCTTAAGCAATGCTTGGTGGTGATTGGTGGGTAAAATAGATCTGTAAGGGACTACACAAAAGTGGTCACAATTGCCAGGTGGTTGCTAGAACAGGTTTTGCCGTATTAACACTCAGTCTTGGTATTGCGTTTGATCTTATCGACTTATGAGGAAGACACTGCACTTTGCGGATTGACATTTCATAAAGACAAGATCACAATCATGTCACTGACTATTAAGATAATTAACAAAAAACCCAGATGCTAGATTAACTGTATCTTACCTCCACAGCGCCGCCAGTAGAAAGTACGCCGCCGTGAACATGACGGTGGAAACGATGAAGCGGGTCAGTTCTCCGCTGGCCGCCGCTGGGCGCCAACCCGCGCCATGGTCGTCATGGCGACGGCTCGTCACTTCTGTTTCCGCCATAGCCGCGCCTGTGGCACCTGATTAGGGGGGCGTGCCATCGTTAAAATAAACAAAAAAAAAAACAACAACAAAAAACAAGAAGAAGTTGTTAAGAGTCATTGCATGAGAAAACCAGGCAAAATCAATGGAAGGTCGGAAGATGGGGGTCGGCCAAATCCGCTCAAATTTTGTACATAGGATAGGTATGGGGAACTATCACCAGCCATACGATTAATACCCTCCAGCTCTTTTTTGTTATGGAGTTCTGGAACCCCCCATGGAGACCCTCAATAATTGGAGAATTTTTGCCTGAAAATTCACGAAATTCGGATCACTCTCTCCAGAGTTCTATTAAAGATGCTGATATATGATTTTGATTTTTACATTTCTTCATCTATCTAGTCTGACCAGACGAAATTTGAAGCTCTGGCATTGAACTTAAAAGGGTATGCTTGGGGGTTATCAGAACCATTGAAAGCAGACTTGGAACTTTTTTGAATATTAGTCATTTTTAAAGGGCCATTTGTCACACTATCTGCATTTTTTTGGATTGGTTTTGATTTTTCTGAATAGAGGAACATCTATTCATTAAGAAACAATCGTCGTTTATTTGGGATCTAAATATTGTGAGTCGTGGGAAGAGGCTAATTATGGGGTATTTTAGCCTCTGAAAAACAATAAATCAAGCAATTTCGCTAGCCTAATTCAAAAGGAATTGACTTGAATATTGTCTTTTTGAATCAGAAGTATGCAGGGGCATGATGACTCCTAAAATAAATGCAAAGGAATTGATAAAGGCTCTGTATGGGGGTTCTGAGTATACTTCAAAGAGATTTAACTGATTTATCATGTGAATTATGCTAATTGTCCCACTTCACGTTAATGGATTATTACTAACTTGCAGTTTGTGCATAGAAAAATAGTTATGAATAATTTGGGCTCTGCATGGGGTTTAATGGGACACCTTTCACCTACTTTTTCCTTTATAAGTGTGTATTTTTTTACATTATACATGTGTATACAATTTTTTTGGCACACACCAAAAACACAAGTAGCACACCAGAACAAGCTTTACTGCTGGATCAGAAATCTTTAGGGACATGATGACTACTGAAAAAAAGTTCCTTATCTCCTACCTTCGCCAGATAATATTAACCTAATGGCTTGCTAATTATAAATGTTTGACATTCTAGCATTTTCTTATGAATTATGCAAATGAGATCCACATTTGAATAAGTTATGTTTTCTGTTATTCAACTTCAATAAACTTATAAATGCCGCAAGTATTAAAGTACCAACATAAACCACAGGCACTACCATTTTCATTAATTTTGCAAATTAAGTCTTCATTTTCATAATTGATATATGACGATGTTCCTCTCATTCTTATACACACGTCACAAGTTTGCAGTTCAAAAAATCTGCTATAGGACCCACAGCTTCACTTTTTCAGAGGAGCCATTTACTGATACTGGCATGTACAGATCATGACATATCAAACTGAAAATCTCGCTACAGTACCTTAACAAGCTGCCAGGGGGCCCAAATCTAAGAATTTTGAGGTCTCATCATTACCCTCTTATCAAATACCAATCCTTCTCAAGTTATCGTGACACACGCACGTACAGACACAAACGAACGCCACCGAAAATATAACATTCTTGGAGAAAGCGATAAATGCAAAGAAAGTGATATAGACTCTGCATGGGGTTTTTAAAATACTTTGACTTTGCATCTGAATGGTACTAACTACCACGCCCTCCATTAGCTATTCATTAAGAAACAATCGTCGTTTATTTGGGATCTAAATATTGTGAGTCGTGGGAAGAGGCTAATTATGGGGTATTTTAGCCTCTGAAAAACAATAAATCAAGCATTTTCGCTATCCTAATTCAAAAGGTATTGACTAGAATATTGTCTTTTCGATTTAACTGATTTATTATGTGAAAGATGCTAATTGCCCCACTTCACATTAGTGGATTATTACTAACTTGCAGTTTGTGCATAGAAATATAGTTATGAATAATTTGGGCTCTGCATGGGGGTTAATGGGACACATTTCACATACTTTGCTTCCTTTATGTGTTTTTTTTACATTATACATGTGTATACAATTTGACACGAACAAAAACACAAGCTTAAGTAGCACACCAGAACAAGTTTCTGCCCAACTTGTTTCCACCTGTCTTGCACTGATAACTCTTCTAAACTCACATAGCTAGATATTTAGCTTTCTTCAACGGATATTTGTACTGGCATTTGTCATGCAATCTTTTAGATTAAAACACATGTGCTTGGGCTCTCTAATATGTCATTAACTAGATAAATTACTGAATCACTTCCTTATATCTACTATGTTGCACATAATAAAAATGCTATGTTTGGAGGACATTGGAGTTATCAGGCCTTCAAAATGTGGTACCATGTGATACATTGTACCCTGGCTAAATGGATACAGAGCATGTAGCGGCATTATCTAGAAACAAGACCATAACAAGGTCACGGCAAAGATGCAATCATAGGATAATTGCATGTAGCTGTACTTTTGAAAACTGTTGAAATGAGTAATGATAAAAATGACATTTCAGTTTTACAATTACTGTAATTGGTAACAAGTACTTTTCATGCCTAAACTTGACAAATTGTATAAAAACTGTCATATAATATTTTTTACACTTTGGTACACATTATGGAACAAAACTCCTACAAAATACAAAAATCAATTTACACATGTCTGTGTGCCAGCTCTAGGATGGTCCCTAATTCCTGTATGTAAATAACTTTCCTCATCATCGAGTCTGTAACGCGCAGATGGAAATGGTCTGCTATGAGCTTTAGTTCATTCATCTTTGTGATTTGAGGCCTTTGTTTGTTGCTATTTCGCACGAGATTACAATCGGTGTCTTTCACTATAACCGCTGACTGTAGTGAATGCTAGTTTACACTGTCTTTTACTGTAATAAGTGCCACTCGCATTCCTTTTGCATCACCTATTTATGTCAGTGGCCACACATTCTGTGTTTTCCTGCTGTCTCTGATGCCAACAGTTCAGCAAAATGGTTTGTCACTGCTTGCCTGTGCGCCACTAAATTGGCTAGAACAACGGCCGATCAGTCTAGAACAGCTTCCCATCAGCCTGACATCTCCTGAGCCACTTGTACAACACCAGCTTTCGGGCCCGAACCTACATGTAGCTCCCTGGTTGAAATGTAATTCAGATAGGTCTTCAATTTGTCTGATATTGACCGTCCGGTTGCCCAGCCTTTCACCCAGGAGGGTCCCACGATATCGGATTCTACCCCAAATGACTGTGCGGCTAAGTAGGAGCCATGCTAAATTATCAGTTTGCTTGATCATTTCTTGCGTATTTTGGTGTTTGCACATTGTAACTTTACACTCATTGATATACTAATATAAATGCTAACGCATATGCCGAGCCAAAAGGTATTGTGAACCCATTTGTCTACACAGACTACAAGTTAGTAACGCTTGTGTATAGGGTTTACGGTAACAGCTTATGGAGGGCGTGGTAGTTAGTATAATGTAAAAAAATACACACTTATAAAGGAAAAAGTAGGTGAAAGGTGTCCCATTAAACCCCATGCAGAGCCCAAATTATTCATAACTATTTTTCTATGCACAAACTGCAAGTTAGTAATAATCCACTAACGTGAAGTGGGACAATTAGCATTATTCACATGATAAATCAGTTAAATCTCTTTGAAGTATACTCAGAACCCCCATACAGAGCCTTTATCACTTCCTTTGCATTTATTTTAGGAGTCATCATGCCCCTGCATACTTCTGATTCAAAAAGACAATATTCTAGTCAATTCCTTTTGAATTAGGCTAGCGAAATTGCTTGATTTATTGTTTTTCAGAGGCTAAAATACCCCATAATTAGCCTCTTCCCACGACTCACAATATTTAGATCCCAAATAAACGACGATTGTTTCTTAATGAATAGATGTTCCTCTATTCAGAAAAATCAATACCAATCCAAACAAATGCAGATTGTGTGACAAATGGCCCTTTAAAAATGACTAATATTCAAAAAAGTTCCAAGTCTGCTTTCAATGGTTCTGATAACCCCCAAGCATACCCTTTAAAGTTCAATGCCAGAGCTTCAAATTTCGTCTGGTCAGACTAGATAGATGAAGAAATGTAAAAATCAAAATCATATATCAGCATCTTTAATAGAACTCTGGAGAGAGCGATCCGAATTTCGCGAATTTCCAGGCAAAAATTCTCCAATTATTGAGGGTCTCCATGGGGGGTTCCAGAACTCCTTAACAAAAAAGAGCTGGAGGGTTTTAATCATATGGCTGGTGATAGTTCCCCATACCTATCCTATGTACAAAATATGAGCGGATTTGGCCGACCCCCATCTTCCGGCCACTGCCTGGTTTTCTCATGCAATGACTCTTAACATCAACACTCCATGAAATATAATTGTGGTTTTGATATGGACCTTGAATTTTGAACGTGGACATTGGCAATGATATATATTTTGGTTATTTATTTTTCTACTGTTTTTTTTTGCACCTACACTTCTGTGCTCGTGGTCTTAGCTTTTTATCTAATGTCATTTCAAGGTTCAGGTGTATACATGTACTCAAAATAGCGTATTGCTTAGCCTGTGATTATTTACAACTCTTATGTAGAACTATATTACTAGGGTTATGTAAGCCATGTTACATATATATGTTGTATAACCTTAATGAAATAGTAAAATGTTAGTCTCGATACATAGTACCTAAGTATACTAAATGGTTTTGTGCAGTTTTTTGGCAGGTAACGGTATAACCGCCCTTCTTTCGTGTGTATATATTATATACCCATATATTTGCAATGATTATCACGTATAACATGCCGATGTGTCTTCTACTTCAGTGGATAATGATACATATTTATGTCATGTCTGAGCATAGACGAGTCTACATCATGTTGGCGGCGAGTCACCCACAACAAAACATACTGAATTATCATTATTGAAATATCGAGTTCTACATCCAGAACTAACCATGACAGTGTTGTGTTTACAGAAGACAATACAGAAACTACTCACGTTTAACGCTCTAGCCGCCGTGACATGTCTATAACCTTTTCCCTGCTGCCTAACGCCGTAAGCTACAGAAAATCGGTTGTGAAATGCCTACCTCAGAATGCTAAAGGTTAAGCACATGGCTGCAGTTGGAGGTCTGTGAAGATCAGAAATTTACAAGAAGATATCAGAATCTTCAATCATGTAGATAGAGTTTTAGAGACCTTAGACTGCAAACGCCAGGTTAATGTTCTGCCATTTTAACCTGTGTTTAATTAGCTGCAAAACCGGCAAGGTCAGTTTCTGTGTGCATTATGTCATTTATGTCAGCATGGAAGACACCATCGCAAACATGGGGGTGCACGCATGTACATGTTTTGTATAAGGTGGCCTTTATTCAATATAAAAAAAAGGAATTTTGGTTTTGTGCGGTGAAGAATGCATGGGGAGTTGTTAAGAAGAGGCATTATATTTGTTGTTTAAATATTCTAAAAGAATGTTTTTACTACAAAACACACCGTGACAAGGATATACACTCACTGGATCGAAAACCGTATCCAGTTTATCATGAAAGTTCATCTGTGTTGGTAGTAATCATAGTAAAACATTGAACTTTATTCCAACACAAGGGTTACAGAGCGATCAAATTTTCGACGACCACTGTCGCCTTCATCAGGATAATTAATGATCAATCACTTAACAACGTGATCTCGCGAGAGTTACGGTTTACAAACACGTGACCTCTTTCACACGAGACTTTACTGATACGTGACGTAAGCAATTGATCAAAAGTGCTAGGGAGTTTATATCCAGTTTATGTCGTCATGACAACTTCACAACCTTGAATTCAGCGTTACATGTGAGGCATGGTTGACATGACTCTTTACACTCACTGTTATAAACACATAGAATAAATCTTAGAAGACATTAATATACTTTCATAGACACTCACTTTTTGGTAATATTTGGTTGTATTCCTCGGAATTTACGGAAAGAACAATTTTGACGGTTTTCCCCCCAAAAAGTCATATAAATGAAATCATAGTGACGTCATATGACGTCAATATTATAATTACACAAAAGTTGTTGGTATGACTCAATTGTATTACTACACCATTCTCTAAAAATTTAGTGGCCCTACGATATTGTTCAGTTGCAGGGGGCGGGCCCTAAAAGCACCCCCCCCTCCCCGCCTGAGCTTTCCCAAAAAGCCCGGTCTGAATAGAGTCAAGGGTTTTATTGTGCATTCTTACCCACAGGGTTAAACACAGGTCACGTCAAAAGATTGACTTCCACATGCACGTGTACGTTTGACCTAAGGAACTGGTCTGTTACCAGACCGTGACAAAGGTCGTGTCTATACGGAACCACCCAAGGCGCGATTCGGGTAACTCACATTCCTCACATCTGGTCCACGTGCCACACACACCTGCGAAACCGTGTCCGAACATAATGCGCTTGAGCTACATTTATTGCTGTTTGATGATAACACGCAAGGCGGCGTGTTCTAAATGTCAGAGGTCAACGACCTGCTTGCTGATGCCCCCCTCCCAGCGTATCTCGGCCGAATGCCGACGTGGTCCCGCCAGAGGCGGTGAAGCTCGACCTAGAACGGACACATTATTTGAACATTACTGCTCTTTAAGTTGCTGCCACGTAAAAGTTGGTATTGCATATAAAAAAAGAAATATCACTCCGTAATCCATGACCAGGCGAAGTCACATTGAAATCACATTGCGTTCAGACGCAAATCGCGATGCGGGGAAACCGATTCGAAACCACCTCTAGAAGTGGCTCCAGACGAAGGCGCTTTCAATGTGATTTCGGACCGTTCAGACGGAGCCACTTGAAACCGGCTTCGGGGTAAACCACATGTAAACCGCCTTGGGTGGTTCCGTATAGACAGGGTCAAAGGCTGGCACCAGGTGCTTTTGTGCGATCGACATTTCAAAAGGTGTTTTGTGGTGGGCAAGGATCGAATTACGTTGAGTCAACTAGATTTTACCTATACAAAGCTAGAAGAGTGCCCTTGGTGGCCATATTGAGCGCAGAGACTTTGGCACATCACGTCCTGACCGTGCAGCCGGTCAGGTTGAAGTGGGAGTTTCTGTGTCTTAGAGCACCTGTAGGGCTGTAAGGCAGTAGACAGGTAGGCACTACTATTCTCTCTTCAATCATTTCTGCTTTATATTCGCAGACATTTTTATTTGATTGAAAGTTTTGACAGTAAGACAGTACGTAATTATTAGCCCCTGTCACACAACCGAACACTGACGATCACACACCGCCCCCCCCCCCCCCCCAACCATGGTTATAACGTTAGAGGTAGGTCGGGAGTAATGTACTCTCCAAGCAGAGGTTTGGGTTTTGGCTTATTTTTGGCGTGCTTTTAGCCTTTTTTCGCGGGGATTTTTCTTTCACCCAACTCATGCTGTAACACCTGTGTCATTTTAAGTTCATCCAGAAACGTGCGTGCCGGGCAATACAATCAACATGCATTCCATACCCAGGGGGCGAAAGCCTGACCTTACCTATCCTAAACTAGCGAAGCTATCAACTAGGCTCGTGTCTGAACTTTGCAGAGGTTCATCACCAGACGTCTGTCACTCTACCACAAACACAAGGCACTGCCAATCACTCGTTCCAGCAACCAACCTTCCACCTGTTGGTTCCGAGTCCAACGCTCTAACTGTTTGGCACCGACCGAAGCCACTTTTATAGATCCCACTTTTATCATTATTATGACTCGGGCCCCCACGATGACAAGGTCGGGGGAGAATACATCACTCAGGCATTTCTTATTGTGGGTGCTCTTTCCAACTCAACTACAGCCAAACCGCATTGTCGCTAGAAACCGCTATTCAAACTTTTTCATGGAAAAGAAAAGTTGGCTAGTCGTCCTACCGTAGCCTCTACCAGGCACCGCGGATCGCTGGAAAAATAGTAGAAATTGGCCGAAATAAAGGGATAGTATACAAGAGAAGATCCAGGGCCATAGAAGCCATGGGTCGCAAATTGGAGCTTCTATGGCCCTGGATCTTCTCTGGTATACTATCCCTTTATTTCGGCCAATTTCTACTATTTTTCCAGCGATCCGCGGCGCCTGGTAGAGGCTAGTCCTACCGTATGTCGAGAATGTCTAGTACCCATAAGGTATCATGTTTAACCCTACCTAGACGGGGGGGGGGCTAAAAGTGCCCGCGGCAACTTTGATGTCACCTAGCGTCTGAACGGCTAGCCGTAGAACGGCCAAACTTGGTGACTTTTCCTAGAATATTGTTGGCAACAATTCTCTATCATTGGAATAAGATAATAATTTTTGTGTTGCCATGGCAACGGGTTTCTGACAGGCATTTTTTGCTAAATTTAGTACTTCTTGTTTCAACAATAGAATTTTATGGGTTTTATGTCAAGTTACTCATGGTTTCTAATATAAATAACATCCCATATAATTTTATGTAAATTTTTATAATTAAATATGCATAATTTATGCTAATTTGATGACGTCATTGGCCAAAATCCAAGATGGCGGACCATATCATTAGAACAGGTATATACGGGTTATTTTCATTAAAATTTCATCAATACTTCCATTTCTTTTTCCAAAAAAGGTTTAAATGAAGGTCTTTAGTATATTTACAATGTATTTTAGGCTTTATCATGAAAAAAAAACTATTTTTGAAAATTCAAGATTGATGATCCAAGATGGCGATGTCTTAAATATGTATGACGTCATTTTATGACGTCACCGGTGTTGCTATTGGCAACATAAGACTTAGTACACCATAATATTCTGTCATAAACACTTTTGGTACAGTTATGTTGAATACCATTTAGTTTTCAGGGAAAAACCTATTTAGACGGTTTTGGCCAATAAAATCAAATTAATGACGTCATAATGACGTCATATTACGTCAGAACGACATAAAAAATTGTAGATATGATAAATTTTCACTAGTACACCATCCTCTGAAAATTTGGTGGTCATACGACATACCGTTCGCGAGTTCTTAGGGGGGGTCAAAGAGCCCCCCCCCCCGGTCCCCACCACCTCGTCAAAAAAACGACCCGGTCTAGGTAGGGTTAAGCATTTGAGACAGACAGATGTTAGTGAAACCTAAAGACAGGAACCCTAAGACCTATGGGGTGATATACCATATGAATTTCGCAGGTCAGAGTTTTTTATTTTTTTATTCCAACATGTAATCACCAGACGTGGTGACGACACTCTCAAGTTTTTTCAACTTATATTAATGCCGCCACCAACACAGGGGACAAATACATGACAGGACAATACTCATTTACACCTGAGCTAAGTGAGGAAAGTCCTGTAAAGTGCCTTTCCCAAGGGCACAAGATCGGTGGCATGTCAGGACTCGAACCCTGGACTCTTAGTTCCGAGTCGCGCACTCTGCCGCTACGCCACACGACCCCACTAGAGAGTATTTAAGGACCGTGCCCAGAGACATATATATATATGGAACGAAATGGTACATTAAAACTAGATTCTCGGAGCACAAGCGTCTAAGGTCTACTAGTCTCTACTAGACTTACTACGCTGGCTATACATGTATATACTAATAGGAGAATATTTGCCAGGGGAGTTTAGCCGCCACGAAGGTTTGACTGGCCGTGCAGTAGGGAAAGAAACTACCTTCCCGCGGCCGGACTCCCTTGACCAATTTATTCTCTTTTTTGCCGAATTCTACGATCCGCATTCCCGTAGAAAGGCCTGGTGGAGGCTAGGTCTACTACGTCTGAAGTTTCACAACATATAGATATCGAGTCCACGAGCCAGGTAGTTACGCACATTTTGGATAAGGGGTAGGACGAATTTGTAAGGGGTGTGAAGGAAGCAGTGTGCCTTAGGGTTCATCAACCCTCCCTGAACCGTAACGGCGGTAGATTCCGTCTTCTTGATTCACACCTGACGACATAACGCGATACCAGAAAGTCAGTGCAGTAGGTAATTCACGAGAAAGGTCACGACTGAAAATTTAGGGTGAGTTTCCCTCTTAAAAACGTTTAAACTAGCCGTTTTAATGTTTATTCATGTTCAACTACGGGCCCATGTGTGTTAGAGGTGACATTTTGACATTTCAATAGTTTGACTCACAGTAAGCTGAAGTGATCAAACAAGTAAAAGTTTGGTTCATGTAGAATGATTCCGTGGTGGAATTGAAGCCGAAATCTGCTTCCAAGGTGAGAATATATGTTCAATGTACATTGTACCTTTGCAGACGATCGCATGTTCACATTTACTAAAATCTTGTCCAGAAAGTTGTTTGCTTTGTGTTTGCCTCAGACACAAGCCCGTGCACTGTGACTGGTTTTACAGGTGTGTACCGTTAGTCATGGCCGAATATGGCTTTATTATTAATACCGAGCTCCCCCAACCATGACTCTGATTTTACTGCCACATTACTTCTTTATTTCTAGTGCTAAATATTTGTCTTTTTGGCAGGATTTCTCTGTTTTTAGCACTGTAACGTATATACTAAAATGTACCGGGTTCTCTTTGGGACTTCGGGAATGGTTTTCCTGCTCGGCTCAGCTAGGTTTCCGATATGTTTTGCATGACGGAAGTTAATTTAGCCCCCCTGGCGTAACACTCCCACCGGGCGGCCTGTTGAGCTGGACGGGGGATTTGAGTCCCAAACTGTACCCAAACACAGCCTTCCCCTAGCCTACAAGCCCTGCGGGGGTAGGGAAGAGTTTTAGCGCGTTATTTTAATATAGCCGGTCATCCTACATAGCCGCCGCGAGAAGGTTCCATTCTGCCCACGGATTGGAACCTTCTCTCGCCCCAATCACGATAGACTGGATATGAGGCTAAAATAAAATATACAATAGTCTACATTATAAGCCCCAATCTTCGTATACTTAAGATGAGCCCAGAGTTTTCCCTTACACGCCAGATAAAATGTGTCAATGACAGGTTTAGATCACCCCCCCCCCCCAACTACATCCCGAAACATACCCAGGGGTATGGTCTTGAAAAGCGCACGAAAAGTTGGATTCAGCAGTGGCAGTAAATAAATTAAATAAAAGGTAAAGTCGGGTGATGTTTATTTTGTAAACACTACCCGTCTTAGACTCAATCGATCTCCACTAATGGAGGAGTCTGCCACGACTGCTCAAGGACACTTTAAGGTTACATTACACAGTATTTATGGGCAAACCCCGCAGTACTAGTAATTCAGTCACAAAGCAGTGCGGTGCAATGCATGATAAAGTTGGACATACTCTTCTGTGTAGGACATTTAGGTGAAAACTGTGGTGACTGGTAGAGAAATTATATGCGAATTTGAATTATAATGTGGGTTTGACATAGTTACTAGTACTGTGCGTTGGCTACAGTTGACATGACCTCCGGATCCGCATAGAGCCATTGAAAGCCGTTTTACAGGGAAACGAGCAGGCACACTTGAGCTAATTTTTACCTACTTTTAGATTGTACCCCGAATCCAAACGCGTGCAATTTTGTTAGCTTACTGGTGCGCCCTACTATAAATTTTCAAGCGGTGAACCTTCTCCCTTTTGGTTCATTAACTATAGAAACCCACATAGGGCGAAAACTGTCTTTTGCTATCATAGCGGCCTTGGCCTGACGAGAGGTCAAACACCGGCGGCTGGTGATGAGGTTCTTAGAAATTTGGACTAAATATACAATTCCGAGGTCAAGCTGTCCTGCTAGTGTGGGGCTTTAGTTACTGTGGTTGGACGGTCAATTTGGTGCTTTTTGACATGTCATTTAAATGTTTGGTATGTGTGGCAGGAAGAGAGGTTTGCTGTTAATTAACCTTTTTTTTCACCTCTTTCGGGTGCATACCGTGACGATAGCAGACATTCTAGATGTTTAGTTTTCATGGTAAATATTGTCAGCGCTGAAGACATTTTAGACGACGTTTAAAAAGTCAGTAAATACTGTTTAAAATTGGCGTGACGCAGGAAATCAAACATCAATGGAAGAAATGCAAATACTCTAATTCAAAGATTACTCCAATGCACTAAGAACAGTCTTGCAATGTAGACCGACCATATTAAATGTCGTGTAGTCTGTGTCCAAAGTTAGGCCACACCGACGTAATTTTATGGATGACATCCTATGAAGACCCCCAAACTAGCGCGCGCTGGCGAATAAAAAAAAATTCCGGCCAAAAATAAAAATGCTACTAAACCACAGGAATACAAAGCTGGTATTGTAAATTTGCGACAGTACTTAGCAACGTATACGGCATGCTGGCTTTTTGCGGCATTTCTAATTCGGTACTGTACTGACTTCTTGAGTCATGGAGCTTTGAATTCGATAGCCTGGGTGCCCGGCTCCGTTTTGTCGCTGACTACCATGGACTACCCAGGCCTAAAGTCAGGCCAGAGCCTCGGTGGAGGTGATGTTTTTTTTAGGGCGACAGGCGAAAATCAATGCGCGCGCGGATGTCATCCGTAAAATTAAGATAGTATGGCCTTACTTTAACTCGGCGCAAACTCAGGTGACCTCAAAACGACCCCAGGTGTAAGGCTGTAAGGTTTGAACCACTCACTCACGTCTAGACCAGTGAAAATTTATAGATCCGTTTACACAACAACCAACATTATTATTATTTTTTTAATTGAATAAAGCAATACAAGACAAGGACGAAGTGGGGCTGAACTCAAGTTATACAACTTATTTTACAGCCCCACTTAACATTTAACATAAATTATTATTACATTATTAATTTCCATACAGAGCATACTGAGCAACAACTATGCCAGGGCCCAGGATCCTCCGTCCCGGTTTGGCTGCCTTGCTGTGTATGATGTTAGCGCTGTCAGTAGGAGGGGAGATATGTCAGGACGCCGTGTGCAGCTATCGGTTTGTCGTCAGGCGGGCGCGAACCATGACTCACACCCGGACACTGCCGAATGGTTGGAAACAAAACAACCAGGTAGGGCCATATGTATTATTCTATCATGAAAGTTCATCTGTGTTGGTAGTTACATGTATGTTTAAAGTTAAGACTTTTGGTCCAACACAAAAAATTTGAACCGCGACGGGGGCCGACATCGTCTACCAGATACCTTTGACCCAGTGTTGACGTCACACTTCAAAGAAGCCACGTGACCAGCTTCACTGGGTCAGTCTACCGAGGAAGACCAGAGTGACTGGTCGAACACTCTAGGTGAGAGAATTTTAAATTTTTGTGTTGGACCAAAAGTCTTAATTTTAAACATATGTATTATTGTTTAGTCTTTTATTTGCAAATTCATGCCCGAAGGCTAATTGCTTTTACAGAGACAAAAAAAAACTTTTATTTTATACATCTGTCTTATATGCAAAAATAAAGTAAACATAATTATTTCTGTCTTGGTATGGACGGTTTCGGGTTTTTAAAGGGAGCCGTCTGAAAAATATCAGTGTAAGATCAGAAAATGGTGTATAAGAACATAGATCTGAACCATTTAATCCCCAATTTAGGCAATTGAGTCACACATAAAGCTACGGTCACAACCCGCCGTACGCGCTTCTGCGTGTTGTCTACGTGCAAAAACGTGGGCAAACGTAGGGCATCCGTGCGTGGTGAGTACCGCCTCCGTACGGAATACTACGGATTTGGGAGCACGCAGACACGCCGTAGAACGTTAAGTGCATGTAAAACTTTTTCTACGTGCGGTCTGAGGATTCACCACCCGTGCGTGCGAGTACGGGCGACGCGCGTGCCCCGTACGTGCCGTGCGGAAGAAGCACGTGTGGGTACGGCCTCCTTACGGTAAAGTTGCAATCGCACAGAGATCGTACGTTGTAAGCACGTACAACTCACTTACTACTTGCGCAACATACAATGCACGCAACCGCTCACGGCCAGACGTAACGTGCAGACCACACTCTTACACCTTGCGCAACCGTGCGATTGACGTGCGAGTGACGTGCGTCGACGCCACTCCTTCCCTACGTTTTCAGAAAAAACGTAGCAGACGTAGCCTCCCAAAAAACGTACGGACAAAAAGCACGTACGGCGGGTTGTGACCGTCGCTTAACCAAATGTGGGCTTCCAACTAGGCTCCTCCAATTAAACCGTGGTTGTTGGGATAAGGTTGGGAGCAAGGTTGGCTTTGGTTGACTTTGGTTGACTGGTGTTCGGCCAGGTCGGCTACTCTTCCGCTGCACCAGCCGAATGTTTTAAAATTGGGGACTGTTTGTTTGGTAGTTGCGTATAGGTCAGCAGTGGTTGGTATGACTTTTATCCACGACACAATTACTCCTGACTCGCACCCCACTAGTTCCAAACGGACCGATGTCTAAAACCAGGCTTTTAGAAGAATTCAACCATTGTCCATAACTCTAAGTCTTAACTGTTCTAAGGTCAAACTCTATATAATCTGAAAATTAGACCTTTAGACATCCTTAGTTTTTTTAATGTTTCAATTTGCATCCATCGTATCAAATACTTGGACAAATTAAACAAGATTCTGATACACATGTTACTGATTTTAAGGTCTCAATCACACACGACGGCCATCTTGAACTCTTCACAACATTGACCCTTGACCGTAATCGTGACGTCAATGGCACACGTGTTTCATCAGATGACGTCATCACAGCTGACGGTGTACAGAGAAACGTCATCCTGGTGAACGGCCAGTTCCCAGGACCAGCTATAGAAGTCATGGAAGGAGCACAGGTAAATGGAAGTTGGGAAGAGTTGTTCGATTTCATATCTTCACTTCCTGATCATAATTGCTGCATATAGAATTTTATCCTCCCAAGTTGAAAACCTGCTAGCATGAAACTACTATCAATTTTTTTACCTTTTCTGGCATTTTTTCTATTATCTTTGCAAATTAGATCCATGTAATTGATATCAATTTATATACACATATTTAACCTGACTTCCCTTGTTACTCGGCGTATATGGTTGGCATAAGGTTTGGTTATATCGCTGCGCTCCCTCGGAGGTTTAATCTATGTGTTGAGGAAATTACCAGGCCTTATGTGGCACCATATAAATCTCTCGGTTGGTTATTAACAATTGATTGATAGATGTTTCAATACTTAAAGAAAACGTGAAAAAAACTTTTGTGGTTTTCATTGTTTAGATAGCTGTCACTGTTGTCAACCAACTTATGATGGACGCCATCACCATCCACTGGCACGGTTTGCACATGCGCAATACACCGTGGATGGACGGCGTCCCATCCGTCACGCAATGTCCCATCATGCCTCACGAGAGCTTCACCTACCGGTTTGCTGCGTTCCCTGCAGGGACGTTCTACTACCACTCCCACATGAGCAGTCAGATGGCGGACGGACTGTTTGGTGCTCTCATCATACATAGCAGGTATGTAGCACAGCATGAAAGTTCATCTGTGTTGGTACAAGTCATGATGAAAAATAAAGACTAAGCTTTAACTTCCAATACTTAAATTACGGAATTGGAAGTTACCCGAATTTGCACGTCACGTGTCTCTGACGTCACGTTCCAAGAGTAGACGGGTCCATTCCGTGAACAAGGTTGATGGAGTCAGCCAAAAATTTGGATAAGTCTCAATTTCGTAATCTAAGTGTTGGAGATTAAAGCTTAGTCTTTATTTCACAGGCATGTAGCACGTCAGCAGAACGTACTGCACCTTCGCGAAACTCGTAAAGTATTATGCATATCACCTCGGCAGAACGTCTCATATAAGGTGACATTTGGGCATATAAGGTTAACACTCCGCCTGTAGTTTCCAAATGTTGTGTTGGAAAATATATCCTATACGACAGGCAAATTTCTGATGCAACGTTGCCCAACGAAAACGATTTTTAAAAAAATCAGGGTTTCGCGCACGGCCAGTACGTTCTGCCGACGTGCTCGGGTATGTACAAGGTCGCAGAACACAGTATTTATGGGCGACCCAGGAGGTCTATGACGCGGATATTGAAGGTAGAGCAGATAAAATTATTGCATCCTGGCTAGAGCGACTTATGTAAGAGGTAGTCTCCTTTTTAGGCGTTCCCTGATCTGTCATTTTTTCTGATGAAACGTAGATCGCACGCAATAGAAGCTCCGGCTGGCAACCCTACATATATCTCCGTGGAACGCCATCTTGATTTCGGTTCGGCTATGTGTAATTATCTCTAAATGATACATTATACAAAACAACAAAACATGTTTAAGGCGAGCAAAAGGTCATCAACTTACATGTATATTAACTAGCTAGTATTCTTTTAAAGTACTATAGATCCATCCAAATACCAACTATTTTCCCATATGTTAACATTAAAAAAAGAGACAAAAAAAACAACAACAACAAAATGGAGGTAGTATTTTCTCAAGATCTTTTAACTCAATGATAATGTTCGTTTTCAGCAACCCTCCCATACCTTCCGTCCCCCTCTTGTTTAATGACTGGTATCACGAGGAAGCGGAGACGATGGACATCGCCAGCAAGCACAATATTTACCACGTGGGTGCAGGACAATTTGAATTAGCCGAACCCTCTAGAGGGTATTCCGTAGATGGTGTAGAAATCACCGGTCGGAAGTTTGTCTCTGCCTTGATTAACGGACGCGGAAGGTACAAGTCAAACAAAGCACCCCTGGCGAAGTTTACCGCGGAGGGAGGGCACAAGATCCGCATGAGGCTGATCCACGCGGGGGGTGATCACGTGTTCAAAGTTTCAATCGACCAGCATGCTTTGCGCGTGGTTGCGTCAGACGGCCATGACATCAACCCGCTGGCAGTGGACGCCATCATTGTGTCACCGGGGGAGAGATTTGACTTTGAGATTGACGCCGGAGCCTCTCCTGACTCGTACTGGATCCGGGCAGAGACTCTCCGAGAGGGAAGCTGTGTGACGTGTACCTGGGACAGCATCACAGTCACGCCTGATGACATCGTTGAAGAGACCAGAGCGGTGTTAGTCTACCAAAACTCCTCTTCGGATCAAGATCCAACGTCTGAACCTCGTAACTGTACTCCTGAAAACCCCTGCATTTTTCTCAACTGCCCATTTGGAGGGTATCCGGAAGACCGTCAGATAGTCTGCATCAGTATTGCCAACACCAGTAGTCCAACATCATCTAAGGACGACGCAGTTGAAGGTGGCGGTGTTGTGGAATATTTCCTGAACCTTGGGTTCCGTGTGGGCTCCAACATCAACGGCCATCGGTATCTTCCGTCGACCGCCCCGCTTTACCAGTCCCCGAGCACCAACATGATCACCCCCTGTCCAACAGACTGCCAGGGCTGCAAATGCACGCATATTTTGAACCTGCCCTTCAACAAGACCATCCAGCTTGTTCTGGCAGGTTACATTACTACATCTACGGGATTCCCAGCTCATCACAACGTTCATATTCATGGATACACCTTCGATGTTGTGGCCTCGGGTTATCCTAGCTTCAACAGGACTACAGGTGAGCAATTAAGGGTTAATGACCCGTTAGGAGGTGTTATATAATGCCTTGTTATACCACCAATTAAACCACAGAGTGAGCATAGCGAACGTGTGTTCTATTTGTGGTCACCGGCGATCATTTGATATTTATCGTCGACGATGATTGGTCGCGGTGTTTGTTGGATTTAATCACCAATGGTAAAGTTATGGCAACATTAACAGTATGAAATAGGGACTTCTGATTGGTCAATGTCATCTGGCTATCTTATATTGACAGATCCATACTTACCTTGTAATGAATTATGTCTTTAAACATTATATTTCAATAAAACTACTTTAGTAACAAAGATAGGTTATTTTCCTTTAAGCAAAATTTTGCACTTTTTTAAAAGTCAAATTCTTAACGTATTACTCGTTATTATTTTGTCTAGGGATCTTCACGCACAGCAATCCAGATGTGGTGTGCAGCAATGAGCTATGCACTACCGTCAAATGGCGCCAGGGGTCGCCTCCTATCAAAGTGAAGAACGCACCACGAAAGGACACGGTCATACTCCCAGCCCGCGGATACACAGTTGTCCGATTCAGGTAAGACAATTAGTATATGATGCACCTAAGCCTAAGCAGGAAGTGGCGTCGTGTGGCGTAACAATTTTAGTGTTTGACTAGGAACCAAGAGGTCCTGTGTTCGAACCCTGCCATGCCACCGATCTTGTGCCATTGGGAAAGGCGATTTCCTCATTTCACTCAGGTAAAAATTAGTACTGCATTCTCCTCCGTGTTGGGGCCGGGCAGCATAAAAGTAAGTTGAAAGGAAAAATGTGAGTGTGCCGTCATCATGTTTTCTGATTACATCTACATCTATATCTATGTTACAAGGGCGAAGGGAAAAAGTCACTTGATGTGACAATCACTGGTCAACAAAACTCACCAACATCCTTCAGCTTGTGCCTCAGGAAAATACATTTTACACTACTTGTATCGCTGAGTACTTTGCATTCGTAAATGGCGTCACTCGGATAAGACGTACATAAAATGTGCAAATAGAGGTTTCGTGTTTGGAGACAGCCACAGTAAAGAACTCGCCACACCTTTCGAAAAAGAATAAGGGCATTCTCTGGCGTGTGATGATCGAAATGCAACTATCTAAAGTTGGTAATTCACTACAAACCCTAGGAAAACAGTGTAAGGCCACAGCAAGTAATTTTAATGGATGACTCAGCGCGCGCATTAATTTTCGCCTGATTTCGCCTGAAAACAAGAAATGTTGTTGCCTTCTGACAGTGGTCAACATGCTGAAAATGGGCAAAGATGTCTGTTGCCATGCCGGAAGGTGGATGGCAGAGAACTCTGAAGAGAGGAGACAAGAAAATGCTCTGATTTGATGTTTTATTTATTAGATTGATGCAAGGATATGTGATGCTGGCTGTGTATATGTTCCCACTGAATCAAAACCATTATATTTGTACAATGATTGAGTCAAAATTTTAAAATGCAGAAACCTTGTTTTTCGGGCCCGTCTTGTTTTTTTTCGCCCGCTCGCATTAGATTTGGAGTCTGCGGAGGATGTCATCCATAAAATTTACATGCTGTGGCCTAAAATAATAAAACAGACAGACTTACATGACGTTTTTTGTATACTAATTGAATCCAATTAACTGTGGATCGTTAATATTTTTTCAGGTCTGACAACCCAGGTTTCTGGTTCCTCCACTGTCACCAGTCCATGCACCTGGCTGAGGGGATGGCCATGGTGCTGAACGTGGCGGGAGACCGTCACCCAGCGCCACCTAGCGGTTTTCCCAAGTGTGGTAACTTCAGCTGGAGTGAGGAGGACTATGAGGCCGCCATGTCAGGAGATTGGCAAGCTAATAAAAAGGTATTTGTATTATTATTATAATAATTCTCAATTTTCCTTGCTAATATGCCTCATGGTGACTTTTGCTGGCTAAGACTACCAACACATGACATACCATCCTAGTCCAGCCATAGCATCTGCCAACATTTACCACATGTACTATAAACTGATTGGTGACGTAGGATGTTGTCACCACAGTTTTATTACTATTTATGGAACATTTGGTCTAAAGTTTACATCTTGTCAGTCTGTGATTAGACGTGCCTTACATATGAAGATAACTGCGAAAAAACAGACAGTCACACTAAAAATAATAGCCTTATCTATTTAGTGTAGTTGTTGTAAAACACCATTATTCTTTTTTTTTACGTCAATCGCTATATAGGAGCCGATTCGATTTGAGACGTGGGAACTGGTGGTTGCAGTACTGGGATCAGCTGCTGGAGGCGCTGCTGCTACGGCAGGACTGATGCTGCTGATGCAGAGGAAGAGAAGTTCACTATTCACACTGCGCAGTCATTGGTACATCCTTTATGAGTTATGGGGCAGTGCCGGAGTCGCGCGGCGAGGCCGAGTCCCACTATATGAATTATAGGATAACGGGGTGGGTGGGGGGGCAGCGAAAAACTTTCCCAAACAAGAAGGGCTAAACCCTTCCCCACCCACTCCCTGGGACTGACCTAACACCACGCTCCTTCGGCGTTGCGGATGCTTCCAATGATCGCAATGGTGATTAGCCTGGCTGGCATTCATATTTAAAGGGGTAATGACGTCATGCAGGATTTAACCAATCACAGCGCAGTGTAAATAGTTCACTATTCACACTGCGCAGTCATTGGTACATCCTTTATGAGTTATGGGGCAGTGCCTGCGTCGCGACGTCCCAGCCTGGTTACCCTTACTATAAGTCTTAATATAGTACTAGTAACTTTCCCTTCTCTTCACTTCTCTTCTCTTCTTATAACCATCCCCATACTCATCCCCATACTCATCCCATTCTCATCCATTTCTCATCCCAATCTTATCTATACCTCCCAAAGCCTAAACTTACATCTCTTCTTCTTGGAAGAGCACACCCAACTGAGCTGGCTTTATCTAATAATTTTATCTTTACAGCCACCCCTTACACGATTTTTTTTTTATGCAAACAATTGCATTTACAACACAAGTTACAGTGTACAACTGTAAAGTGTCTTTCATTTAAACTCGTGTTGGCCTAATCCTCCGGAATCCTATTTTGTAACATGAAACCGGTTTTAGACCCCGGAGCTCGTTATTTTCCCCATCCACTGCTACCCACACTCTCCTGACTAATGTGAATCGAGCTTCTGGCTTAGGGTGGGTTTGACGCTTATCTCTCTCTGAATAAATCCCTAGTAGAGCAAAATTCAAAAATCACCGGAGGTCCACTAGCCAGTTGGATTAGTC